GGAAGATTAGGGCTGCTTTCTGCCTTTAAGAACATGTTTCTACATTTCTCCTTTGGGGAAATATAATATTCTGCCTCTTTTAATATCCTCCCCAATTTTTTCATTCTCTAGGAGTGTGTGTGTGTGTGTGTGTGTGTGTGTGTGTGTGTGTGTGTGATTACTTCTTATACTATAAAGGAGTGTTGTTTGCTGTCAGTTTATATTCTGGTGACTTGCCTGTCTGTGTGGGTGACCTTAGAGATTCTTTAGTTGGGCTGCTAGTAATGGATCTTTGGCAGTTTCTTGACTGGGATATTGCTTACTCAGTTGTTGGTCTGATGTTAACCTTGGAGTTAATCTGTGCTGATCTGGGTGCTGATTGTTGGTGGAGAGGTGCTGGAGTCTTTTTGTTCTCTTTTGGGCTGGTTGATTGCCTTTTTTTTGGCGCAATCTATAGATCTTGTTAATGTCTATGTGTCTAGCGATGGCTGATTTGCCAGAGTGCCAGGCTTCTAGAAATTCCCTGGCATTTTTGGACTAGGCCTGGTCTCGGATGGTCACATTTTTCTCTATCGTGGGAAGGTTCCCAATAAAGATAGCTGGGTAGATGAACGCCCCAAGTTCAGTCACATAAATATGGGGGAGGCAACCATTGGAACTTCAGATCCAGATCGTAAGTCTCCTTTTTCGGGTTCGGCAAAACTTCAAGCCGTCAGTAAAGGGTCAGTTGTAAGCCGAGGACTACCTATAGTACACAGTAGAGAATAAGAAGGGAGGTTGGACTGAGAAACAGATACAAAATTGGAAATAGGGACACTACCAATAGGACAAGCATGAAGGAAAAACAGAAGGAATATGTGTGGCAAACTCCCTACAGATAAGGAAGACACCTCATCTTTGCCAATAGAAACTACTTGATAGGAGCCAATACAGCAACAAAACAAAACAAAACAAAAAAACCCATTCCATTTTCATGGTTGCTTAATATCCATTTCTCAGATAAAAATAGTTTTGAGTCCAAGAGAGAAATGGCAGCTCAAACTGATTTATGGATTTAGGTATCAGCAGCATTTCTCTGAAAGCTCTATTACATGTCAGAGATTGACGATTCCCCTGAATTATATGTTAACTGGTAAGCCAGAGCTACTGCTAAGTGCTTGTAAAATTGTAAAACTGAGGGTGCAAAGCTTCCCTTGGCTTCTGGTCCACATTAGGCATTGAGTAGCACCTAGCCTGGTGAGGGCTGAGAAGGGTGGATTGGTCAAGAGTCCAACCCAGTAGGCTTTTGTGGTTGACAATAGAGTCCAATGTGGCTCTTGAATGTCCAACAATACAGGTAGTCCTCAACTTATAATCACAATGGAACCCCAAATTTATATTGTTAAGTGAGTTTTTCTCCATTTTATGACTTTTTGTGGCATAAACTGTTTCAACTCCTACCCTCAAAATGATGCTATAGAGCCCTGCACACCAGAACAACTAGACACAAAGACAGTTTTTCCCAAATGCCATCACTCTCCTAAACAATTAATTCCCTCAACACTGTCCAACTACTTACAAAGTCTGCACTACTATTACTATTAACCTTCTCATCACTCCTTATCGCCCATCCCCTCCCACTTGTGACTGTATGACTGTAACTTTGTCGGTTGCATCCTTACGATTTATATTGACTGTTTCCTAGTATGATTTTAATTGCTTATTGTACCCTATGACTATCATTAAGTGTTGTACCTTATTATTCTTGACTCTTGATGAAAGTATCTTTTCTTTTATGTACACTGAGAGCATTTGCACCAAGACAAATCTGTTGTGTGTCCAATCATGCTTGGGCAATAAAGAATTCTATTTTCTTGCCATGTTTGTTAAGTGAATCACTGCAGTTATTAAATTAGTAAGCCAGTTGTTAAGTGAATCTGATTTCCCCATTGACTTGGCTTGGGAGAAGGTCTCAAAAATGACTCTGGGACACTGCAACCATCATAAATATGAGTCAGTTGTCAAGCGTCCAAATGTGACCATGGGGATGCTGCAATGGTCATAAGTGTGAAAAATGGTCATAAGCCCCTTTCTTCAGTGCTGTTGTAACTTCAAATGATCATGAAATGAACTGTTGTAAGTTTGAGGATTACCTGTCATGGACAATTAAGGTCTCTTCTGTTCCAAAAGGGTTTTTAAAATGCCTTCTGGCAGACTCAAAACTTGCACCTTTGTGAAAATGCAAATGAATTTTACTTTAGGAATAATAGCAACAACTCCGAATTGTGCTTCTCCACAAGTTTCAACACAGGCAAGAGGGAACACTAGAAATTTGCAGGTAATGAAACATTAATGAGACCAGTTATCTAATCTTCTCCTGGGGATTTGACAGATGAATTTACTGCAGGCTGGTGTTTGTGCTGTCACTGGAGTTTTTATAGCTCCCAGATGAACAGGTGGATTCATTTATCGGACTCAACTGAAACGTGGTTGGTTTGCTTTGGGATTAGCCAAATGTATGAGCCCAGCCAAGGGAATAATGGGAAGAAGTTCCTGTGTCAATGTAATAATTTCATATTGGCTAGAGTGCTGGGCTTGGATTGAAGCTTGACTATTCTCATCAACTCTATACAGTATTTCACTGGGTGACTCTGTTTAATATACTGTTGAAGACCATTTTATAGGCACATAATGGAGAATTAGTAATCTTCAGTGTGCAACAAAAGTAGAGAAGAGCAACAAAAGAACTGGGTACGCTTCTCCTAAAGAAGAGAAGGCTAAAAGGAGACTTACTAGAAATCTTCCAACACCTGAAGGGATATTACTATTGGGAAACTGGCAGCCAGGCTGGAGGTAGGGGTCAAATGAGCACCTAGCTTGGAATCCTTTTGCAATCACAAGCAGCCTAAGCTTACCTCCCCCCAAGATCCATGAAGCCTTATGTGGTTATTCCAAGGGGAAGATGAGCAGTCTGGTGGGATTTTTGTAACACAGGTGGTAGATAATAAAGTTACTGAATTTCATTATTCATGAGTGGCTTTGGTTGCTTGCTACTGACAGGGAAAAGGGTGTGGGTTTGTTCTCTGTAATACCTAAAACTAAGGGAAGAGCCAACAGGCAGACATTTTTACAGAGGGAGATCCAGACTTCGAATTTCCTAAGAAATATTAAGGAGTACTGGGGGATCAATTGTTGAAAGTTGGAATGGTGTGTGGGAATACCTGTTTTGCGCAGGAGTTGGATTAAAAAAACTTTCAAAGTTCCTTACAACCATATGATTATCCTAGACTAGTTCTTGGACCAGAATCTGCCTGTATCTAAAAAGAAGTGGAGCCTATCAATTACATCACCCTGTCAGCTTTGCATATTGCTAAAGTGGACAATAAACCCACCGAGAAGAAAACAGAGGTGCTGTAGAAGAAGGACTGGCAGAAGCTGGGGGTGGAGTTAAAAGAGGGACTAGCCTGGAATCCCTACATAGCCATAAGTAAACTAAGTCCAACCTCAGAGGGATAGAATTGAGATCATGTGAAGTGTTAATACCACTTTATAATGCCTTGGTAAGGCCACATTTGGAATACTGCATCCAGAGTCCTGTGCATAGATACCAGTAGCAACAAATCATTTTATTTCGACCTTCAGGTGTGGACCTGGTCTTTTATCCCTGACAGGTGCACGTTTTCCATTAAGACCATGGAAGATCTGGCTGCAAAACTCCAAATGGGCACAGGATGGCAGCAATCCGATACAACATTCCACCCCACCCAGGCACCTTAAGTCTGGCTGATCTTTTGGTGGCTATTCGAATATTTTCAGCCCAGCTCCTGTAGCCTTCATTTCTGTTAAGGCTTCTAAAAAAGCTGCAATGATACAGCCCTCAGAATTTGAGCTTTACTTCAAGACATTCCTGTTTTGTTTTTGTTTTTTTTTAAGTCCTTTTATTTGAGCTCTACTCATTTTTTGTGGCCTTGTTTTCATGCTGCGGAAAACAACAAATAAGGGCCGTGAATTGCCCTTCCATCTCCTAGTAGTCGTTTGTAGGACATGCCAGGTTCACAACTTCATGGAAGATCATAAAAACAGGAATGACATCATTCATGAACCGCATCAGTATTTCAGTAATAATGAATGGCTCTTAATTACCACCTGCCTGTAGTACTTGATGCGTTCTGCTTTTCCTTCCTTCGGGAAGACAGTCTAACTTAATTTTTTTTTTTTTAACCATATCTAATGTTGGAGGCATGACCTCTCCAGCTCACGAAGCCTGCAATCTCCAGCTGTTAATCTTGCCTCAAGGTTCTTGTGTGTGTGTGTGTGAGCCACTTGCAACAAGCAGGACAAGTTTACATCCAGAGTATCTGGGGTTTTCTTTCTGTTTTCATCCCAGATCAAAAGCGATATTTGATTACCTGGTTCATCTTAAGCACCATGCTCTCTAGGTGTTTGTATGTACAAATGGGGCAGGAGCGGGGGTCAGACTACACGTCATCTTAAAGCTATTTCTGGCAGCCTCAACTTGCTCTTTGGTTTGATAATAAATGTAGGGGACCCTGAAACATGCAAAATTGTTGTGATTGTCACGCTTAAAACCGCTTTCTACCTATATTTTGGTTCTTGCGAGTAGGACGAGTAGAATAATAAAATATGGTGTTGGAAGAAATATCCTTCTGGGTTCAGTTCCAAGTGGGGAAGAAAGATACTGGAAACATGGAGGCTGTTTGGAAAGATGGTTTAATGGTGGGCAGGATCACGTGGCTTGCAGTTCCAAAGTGAAAAGGACGATCACATGCTTCAAGATATTGGATGAAGGAAAAGAAGGGCCAAGATGCTGAGAGACCCTTAGTTTTATACCCTCCATTGGGCCCCCATCTTAGTGTTTCCCGTTCCTATGTAACAAATGTATCCCATTGGCTGTCAGACTCCCAGGGGCGGGGTCTTAGATAACCTGTAGGCTTTGTCTGGACCCCATGGCTTCACCTGAATGCCGGCTGATGCAATCTTCCCAGGCCCAGGTGGTGAGATGGCCCAGGGCTCCTCCCTTTATGAAGAAGTTTTCCCCTCTGAAATTCTTGGCCAGATACAGGCAGAGGTTGCTCGACTGTTCATAAGCTTGGATCTCAAACAACATCAAGTTCTTCGCCCTCTTCTCCCTGGATTTCTTTCACGGCAGCTGGTTTTCCTTCAAGGTGAGGGTGTTTTTTTTTGGCGGGGGGGAATCTCTGTGCCTAACTCATCGCCATTCGGCTTCTGCTGGGAGTTTTCTTCTTCTCCGTCCTCCTGACTGCAGGCAGTGCCTTGACTTGTGAAGTATGCTCCTCACAAAGTTCAGATTGTACTGGTTCAAAGCAGGAGTGTAATATTGACAATGCCGTCTGCATGACGTTAACGACTGAATGCGGAACCCAGAAAGTGACAAACACTACCAGAAGTTGCAGTACAAAAGGCGCTTGCAAGGTATTTGAAGATATGAAAGGAAAGGCTACCACTCAGCAAACACCCGCTGTTCCAGCTGGAGCGATCATTAAACCAGTTATCTGCAGCAAAGCCCCTCCTTCCTTTGCACCCTTCTTCCCAGCAGTCCTTGGGCTCCTCCTGATGAAGGTTCTCTTCTAAAGTTCTTCCTTCCACCCAACAAGTTGTCCCCCTTTTTCTTGGCCTATATATTCTCTCCAGCTGATCAGGCGGGATCATCAATGTTGTGCATAGGTCTCTATATTTTCCCCAACTGAAACCAGTCAAGTAGACAAATATATAATCAGTCAAATGGAAACCAGTTAAGCCGACAAATATATAATCAGCAGCCTTGAACGTGTGTTTGAAGAGGAAAAAATTGTATAATTCAAATAAAGAAAACAATAAATAATAAACAATTGGGAAAAAAAAGAATACTCTGGCCCAGGCCTTAATGACCCACCAATTAACGAAGGTGGGGGTGAGTTTCTGCTTCTGAATTTCTACTCTTTTTAGAGGAAATATTCTGCTTTTTAAAATATATCCTAAGTATTTCATTTTCCTCGGAGAGGGGTGGGTGCTGACTTCCTACAGCTTCAAGCACCCCCTTTTGGACATCTACAGCATGGGAGTTGGGAGGAATTAGGTAAACTAATCATGTACAATGTGACCACATTTTGACTCTGTGGGATTTGGCGGTAACCTTCCCCTGCCACACCCACCAAGCCACGCCCACCAAGCCACGCCTACCAAGCTGCACCCACAGAAACCGTAGTAAAAAAAAAATTAATCCCTCCACTGTCCTGAATCCTTCCCAAAGATCTGGGATAGGCAAATGTTCTTTGATAGTGTTAAAGGTATTGTCATAATATGTAAGCTGTCCCAAGTAAAGCAGCCCTTTGCAATTGACTGATAGTGATTTTGTCAATGCCGATGGCATTGAAGTGGTGCTCCATGTGTTTTGTGATTGCACGCAAGGCACAAGTCAAATGTCCTTTATCCTGAGTAATATTGACTGGTACTGGTTTATTGGTTCTGTATAAACACCACTGCTTCAAGAACAAGAAAAAAAAAACCATGTTTTAAGATGATCCAGCATCAGGATATTTAAATTGTACTGTTTGTAATTATTCTCTTGTTAATTAGAAATCTGGAAGCTTTGAATTGTAGAGTATTCACAGATTTGCATAATATTTTATGTGGCCGACTCCTTTATTTTCAAGGTGCTGTTTCAAGAAACCTCTAATAATTATATGTCAGGTTTCACAGCAGTTGTCTCTTATTTTGAGAGACCCAAAGCATTTTGCTTTATTTAAATAATTCAGAAAGCCCTCTATCAATATGGGAGAGTGTTGGAAGAAAAATCCCGCCTGGTTCCAAGCTGGGGAAAAAAAGGCGCTGGAAATAGAATAGAGGCCAATTGGAAAGAAGGACTCTGTTTATTGATGAGCACAACCAACATAGCAGACAGTTCTGGGACAGCTGATGAACTAGCAAGGATTTTTATACAGTTTCTGAAATGCTGCAGGGGGTTATACAATGTAGTGAGCCTGGTGTCTTTTTCTACTCTGATGGTGGTGGGTTAATCCTGTTATATCCTAAATGTCACGTCCTGTTCTTAGAATTTGGGTGGTGTGTGTGTGTGTGTGTGTGTGTGTGTGTGTGTAAATTTTAATTCCATTGTTGGAGGTGAAGGTGTTATATTTGTGAATAGGCTGGGCCAGCCTTTCTTAAATGGGCATAAAATATCCATCCATCTGGCATCGGCTGGAGGCTATTAAAAAGACTGAGACTGTTTGCTGCCTTTAAGAAATGTTTCTCTATTTCTCCTTTGGGGAAATATACCATAATATTCTGTCTCTTTTAATATTCCCCAAAAGATTTCATTCTCTGGGACAGGGGTGGGGGGGGATGCGTGATTACTTCTTATAGAGGAGCTTGAACTGAGCATTTTCCAATGTACAGCTAATAAAAATGACAGATTTGGGTCCAGAAATAATATCAAGATGTATAAAGTTACAAGTCTAGAATTTAAATTGCTTCCTTGTTCCCCACAGCTTTGCAGAAATAAGTGATGGAGGTCAATATTATTTTATTGTGCCTGGGACATTATTCCCGAAAATTGACTAGCAAAGTTTATAATTAGCTTCAGTTTTCCAAAATTATGATTTGCTACCTGAAAAACCTCTTCTTACTCTCTTCTGCCTCTGTTAGGTCCCTGCCATTTTGGTCCTTTATCCTGTCAATCTTTGCATTAAACGTTCCCTTCATATCTCCAGTTTTCCTGAAGAGATCTCTGGTCCTCCCCATTCTATTGTTTTCTTCTATTTGTTTGCATTGTTCATTTAAGAAGGCATTCTTATCTCTTCTAGCTATTCTCTGGAATTCTGCATTCAGTTGGGTGTGTCTTTCTCTTTCTCCCTTGCCTTTCACTTCCCTTCTTTCCTCAGCTGTTTGCAAAATACTTTTGCAAATACTTTGTAAAAAAGGTAGTCTTAGAGGAGATCAACCCTGACTGCTCTTTTGAAGGCCAGATCCTGAAGATGAAACTCAAAGGCTTTGGCCACCGAATGAGAAGGAAGGACTCTCTGGAGAAGAGCCTCATGCTGGGAACAATTTGAGGGCAAAAGAAGAAGAAGGAGATGGCAGAGAATGAGGTGGCTGGATGGAATCACTGAAGCAGTTGGTGTGAGCTTAGATGGACTCCAGAAATGATAGAGGACAGGAAGGCCTGGAGGAACATTGTCCATGGGATCGTGATGGGTCAGACACGACTTCGCAACTAACAACAACAACTTGAAAAACATTGCAGTAGAGAGCCAGTACAGCCTTTGTCTTCCTTTCTGGATGTTGCAGTTATTTTTAGTAGTTTCTTCAGTGTTTTCACAGTCACCTAAAATTTGTACTGGTTTCAAAGTGTAAAAAGTGATAGATGTGAATTGCCTTTTAGAAGATTCTCTGAAGAACCAGCAAATAAGGCAGTCCTTTGAAGTAGCACTTCATAGCACGAAGCAACCTATTCTTCTCTAAACCAACCGAGACCTGAGTCACCATTGAACTAAGCCATAATTTGCTTAATGATGATCCATTGTACAGACCACACAGCTGGTTGGATTCACACCAAACAAAACAGTTCAGAGCCTGTCACATCTTGGTAACCCAGAGAGTGTTGTGTTTGATTTTGGCTTCACAGATGGAGTGAAAGCCAGCCATTTCAATGTGAAAAATCCTGATTTATGACTAAGCAACTCATATGTTCTGGATTGCAAACATCTGAAGAACCACTAGTTGGCAGCAAAGAGGTAACAACAGTGCTAGTTCTTAGCTGCCATCTACTGTTTATCTGGAATTTTGCAGCCCAGATCAAAGAGCCCTAACTATTTCTGCTTCATATAAAGGGGCCCAAGATTATTTTTGTGTGTGTGTGTGACATGGGACACCAGGAGCAAAGCTGTAAATTAAGTGGCAACTAACAGAACAGAGTCGAATCTGCTAGGATTTGCAATACGAGACATTAACTGAGCATTTAAGAGACTGCTGACTTTCTAGAAATTTGGCTTGCTCAGCTTCCTCCATAGAAGGATGGAAGTTTGTAAGTTGCAAAGTATAAATTGAATGAAATACTCGCAGGAGTAGTATGGATGCAGTTTTGCAGAAGCCTCCAAGAAGTGGCTTTACTGCACCATCTCACCCTCAGCTTGATCAAGAAACGAATATTTTACCTCTGTCTTCCCATTTTCATATCTGCATCCAGATCTTTATCTTACATCGCTTCGGAAGATATCAGCAGGCAGTTAATGGATGCCTCCTACAGAAAGATGCTCCCTTAATTAAAGAGAATAAGAAGGAATAGCAGCACACGAGAAATGAAAGTCAAATTGGCACCTATACGATCCCTTATGATTCTGCTCATTAGTTTCTCATTCCTGCTGTTCTCTCCAGCTGCTAAATCTAAGAAAACAATCCAATGGGGAATTTGTGCAGGTAGTCCTTACGACCATGACGGAGCCCAAAATTTCTTTCTTTTTTTTTTTAAATAAAGTTTTATTGAGTTTTAACAAAACAAATAAAACATCTTATTTGAGTACAGCAGGGTTCCAGGTTATCACATTTCCATACAGACACAATTTCATATGCATATTCATCTTCAACTTCAACTTTATGTATTCGGTTTCATATCTTATTACTCTTTTTCCAACTTCTCACTATTTCTCCCTTTACTTCTCTTAATTTTCTTTTATGGTTATCTCATTTTCTTCTTATTCAATTGTATTTCTTTTACCTAAATTTCTATATCTTTTTATTCATTGTACTTATACTTTCGTCTGTCTTGTTTATAATTTCATATGTTCTCTTCCAATATTCTTAAGAAGCAAAATTCCCCCTATGATTGCCAATCGAAGTGCAACACCTTTAAATCTTATTGTTATTATCATATGAAATCTCATTAAACATTCAATTTGTGCATTCTAAAATTATAACATTCAAATTTCTAATATCTATTTTATATCATGTAGATCTTATCATTCAGACTCTGCTTGGTACTTCCCCTTGAAAATGTAAAAAGAAAAATTCTAAAAGCATAGCAAAAACAATATATATGTATATATAAACATTAGTAAACAAAATAGTTATTCAAAATCATTCTAGTGCTGGTATGAACCTTGTACATCTTTCACGTTTCTAGCTGAGCAAATACCTTTAATCCTAGTACGTTTCCCCTTTTTCTTTATTTCCTGTTTTTGTCCCTCATAAGTTCTTTCCCTTTCTATCTTTCCCCGCCTTTTCTCCATGGAAACACAGAGGCTGTTTGGAAAGATGGTTTAATGGTGGACAGGACTACATGCCTTGGAGCTCTTGGGTTGAGAGATGCTGAGAATCACTGAGTTTTATTATGTCTTCTGAATTTGAATTTGAGCTTGTATTCTGATTGGTTGTCAGACTCCCATGGGGCCATGCAGGAGCAACTTTGTAGGTTGTTCTGAGTCCCAGGCTTGGTTGAGTCTTGCTGGGTGATTGCCCAAAGGGCTTTGGGCAATTCCGCTTATGGCTCTGCCTGAAGGAGGTAGATCTTTGTTATGTAGAATAGACCAGCCCAGGCCTTAATGGCCCATTAACAAAGGTTTTGGGAGCTGAGTTTCTGCCTCTCTGAGTTTCTACATCTCTTTTAGAGGAAATATTCTGCCTTTTTAATATAACCTAAAATTTCATTTTCCTAGGAGAGAGGTGGGTGCTAACTTCCAACACGTATTTTAGGTGAGTTTACAACAGCACTGAAAAATTTACTTATGATCCTTTTTCACACTTATGGCCATTGCAGCATCCCAGTGGTCAGCTGATTTGCGTTCATATGATTGACAACAGACTCATGTTTACGACGGTTGCAGTGTTCCCTGGGGCCATGCAATCCTTCTGACAAGCCAAGTGAATGGGGTGACCAGACTCACTTAACAACAGTGTTACCAATTTGACAACTGCAGTGATTCACTTAACCACTGTGGCAAGAAAAATTCGTAAAATGGGGCAAAACCCAATTAAACAAATGTCTCACTTAGAAACACAAATCTTGGGCTCATTCATGGTCGTAAGTTGAGGACCACATGTATAACCACTGCAAAAAGAGTCATAACATTGGGCTGGATCACATGGTGACTTGCTTGAATTATGATTATAATTCTGGACTCGACAGTCAAAAGTTGAGGACTTCCTGTATGTCTCACTTAGCAACATTAATCTGTTCTGACCAAGGCTTCCTGAGACGGTAACAATCA